CATCATCAGGTGAGATGCTAAACTAGATATAGAAGAAAACATTTGAAGACTGACACCTTGAAGGCTTTCATATTTGAAATAGCTGTCATGCTACTCCCTTCCCTCAAGAAGTAGTGTCTATGAACTGGGACAGGCAGTGTATGTTTTGCGCTTCTTGGGGTTTATTTGCTTGCTTTTCAATTTTACTTTTAGTGACTTTCTGAGGGCGGGGAAAACATTAACTGATAACATACCCCTTTGAAATGAAGGCAATATCCTGCAAATTTTCCTAGCCACTTCAGGACAGGCTGGGAGGGACACGGTAGTGACATTGTAGTTTTTGGCATCAGACTGAGCTTTTATGCCAGCTTAATTCGTGTTGCAAGATCAAGTCTTTGCAGTTCACTGCATGCTCCAGGTTTTCACTAGTAACATGGTTAACCATCCTTCTTCTATCACTCACCCTCTGAGATTTGGACATCTTTAAGTATTTCCTATCAGCCGTATCAGGGCTTTGACTCACAAACAGATGGCACCAGCCTAGGAGACAGATGACTGCCCCAGCTGTCTGCCCCACCTTTCTCAGCACAGCAATGGCTGAGCTGTTTGTAAACCAGCTGCTAAACTACCGCCTCCTACAGAACAGCAGTCTAACAAACAGCTGCCAATTCTGGCTCCTCTTACAAGATGGTGTTCCAAGCCAGATGTTTGTGCAGCAGAAGGGAAAGCTGGGCAGCTAAGGCAGTAGCTCATTTTTTCCAAGCTCTTACTTCCTCACTTGTAAATCAAGGCCCCAGTAGTGTTTTGTAAAAATAAGCACCGCTTTGCCAGTTACTATTTTTTTATTTCTCTGTCCTCAGAGGGGTTGGGAGACCTGGTCTGTTTAGCATCTCCATGCAAATCACACAAAGGTACTAAGCTTTTTCTGCCTCCTTTCTCTAGACCAGTACAGAAGATGCCAGGAGATACTGACTCTAACACAGAATTCTGTTGATTGCTTATTTGGTACAAATGTTACAGATACTATTTCTCCCACGGAAAAACATAGTTGGAAAATGTAAGAGCCAGATTTGTAATACTGCACTCCCATAGTACTCTAGCAGGCAACACTTATAAAATTATCCTGCAAGACCTTAGTGGTACCAGAAGGCACCAGATCCGTAAATGGTGTCCTGGACTCACTGCTTCTAATGTCAACACAATGATTAGGAGAAAAGATAGCATCCCATATCAGACAACACAGCTTTCCATGCCTTAAGCAGGTAGTAAGCAGAGACTGCTAGAGGACAGCGAGGGCTTGTACCCAGAGGAGTGCTGTGGTATGAGCTTATTCAGTCAGGATGCTGCCTCCAGTAACAGAACACATCTAGGAGGGAAAAAGATAATGAAAGAAAAGAAGGCAGCAAAGCATCAAGATACAGATCGTCAATGTATAGAGAAGAATTTGACTGACTTTTGGGTCAAGTAGGAATTATGTCCACTCAGCAATCAGCAGCGCCATCTAAAGAGGTGTAAACAGCAAGCCAACTCTGAAGAGGCTAGGGAACATGAGCATAAGGCCCATGTGTAGGCTGAAACACAGCTTTCTGTGCAATTTTAAATGTATTAAAAAAAACCCCAGTGCTACTGCTTCATATTGGCTTGGTGCACTTTAGCTTGTTCAACATATTTGCTGGGTAAAAGCTACTAACTTTATTTTAAACTGATAACAGCTTCTCTCAACAGGTGAGAAGTATATTGCACATAGAGATCCTGGGACCTGGAACATCATGCCCAAAAGAGTAGTACCACACAAGCCACCCCTCAGTGGGAAACAGTGAAATGGTTCCACTTTTGTCAAGGCATAGGGGCATATACAGTTCTCTATAACACTTCACCCCTCGGTTCAGTGAGCTCTGTGCAAGTCAGTCATGGGACAGCTAAACAACCGTCCCTCGGAGGCAGAGCCAGCTCCACATAGAGCTTGTCCTATTCCGTGAGCTGGCTCATAAGTGATGAAGATTAAATCAGGGACTATATTTATTCTCCCTGCCCGGTCATATCTTTCTATAGATCCCAGTCTGGGGCCCACTTCCTTGGCGTGGATCCTGGAGACTAGTAAGCAAAGGAGGGCATAAATCAGTGCCTCAGGTTCTGTCAGGAGCACACTGAGCCAACCGTCCATGCTGGGAACAGGTGCACTGAAGGCAAGCCGGGACACTGTCCCATTTGGAGTAGTGGGGGAGGGCTTGTAGAAAAGCTTTTAATTTCTTCTCCCAGAGCCTAGCCTAAACTTTTCACCCTGCAAATAGGTTATTTACCTTCTGCAGCTCACCATCAAGTTAACTACAGACTTTCTACTAAACACCAGTCCACGCTAGGTCAGGTCCCAGCTAAGTCTTGTTGGTTTCTGTAGTCATTCTACTTCAGTTTTACTCTCACTTTTATTTCTTTTCTGGTCCATTTCACTCTCTGCTCTGTATTCATTTCAAAGCTGAAGTATTTCAGGGACTGTGCAGAATGATTTGTAAACGAAGACAGTCTTAAAACATAACTGTAATTTTTCACTAGTCATTTTAAAAGTCACCTGTCATGAAAACTAGTGCAGACTTACAGTGGCAAGGAGCATGTCACTAATCTATGCTTAATTGCCGCAGGGTGGATTTTCAAGTAATATTTTAGTTTGAATAACACTTTAAGCAAGCATTGCCTCTGAAGGAAGCAGTCCTACCCTCACCTCAACCATGGCTGCTGATTCCCACTCTCATTATCCCTTCTCTAAGTAGCAGCACAAGCAGCTTTAAAGCTGGGCAATTAAACAAATCAAGGGGCATATCCAAATTAAAGTTCATTTTTTTTCCCCTTTCTGGCTGTGTTAGTTTTAACCTGGATCAATTCCCTGGTCAGTTCCACAGCACAACCATAAAAATGTTGTGCCAGCATACAGCAGGGATTGACGTCTACATAAGAATACTGACACTTGCAGAGCCTCAGGGTGAACCTATCTTGCTCTGTACAGATACACTGATGTATGCACCCAGTAAAGCCATCCATAGTAGATAAGGCTGTGTAAATAAGACCCCACCCATGCCCCCATATGAGAGCAATCTATCCCCTAGCTCAGGGAACAATGGACAGAAACTTGCAGAACGACCTGTAAAGTGCTCCATATGAAGCTTCAGGGCATGGTTGCTCCCATGATGGGGCAGACACAGAGATTCCAATGTAAAGGAAAAACTTTCCTAGCCTGAGTGTGTAGGAAGAGGGCTTTCTTCCATAAGATCCTTGCTAGTGCTTTGAGAAATAGTTTTAACACTTCGGGACTTTTAACCAAATATTGCGCACTCTCAGCGTTTGATTTGCTTTTTAGTCACAGAATTACCAAGAGGATTGTTTCAATACTGAGATAAAGAATCCAGCCCGGTCAAGGCTTTTTTTTTTTGGACAAAAATCAAGAAAGAAATTTTAACTGTGGAATAGGTCAAAATTCCAATTCAAAATCATGTTTACCAACTAAAAAGTTGACTTCTGCTGCAGCTGCAAGCCAGCACTTAGATACCCACCCCTGAATATAGCTATCTAAGAAGCTGAGAAGAACCCACAGGTGAAAGACATCCATGCCAGGGCTATAAGGCAGCAAACTACAATGAAAGGGAGCAGCCAGAGAGGTCTGTTTTCTGCCCTTCTTAAGATCTGAAAAATGTAGCTAGTTAATAGACTGGAGGTGTTTGCACACCACCAGCAGAGCCATTCAGGGAGGGTTCAGGAGCTGAACTTCTGCCCTTTAGCACCAGAGACATAGACCTTCATCTGTTAGGATTATAAGAATGTTGGAGGAAGCAGCAAGGGATACCATAAAAGATAGACTTAGTCACACCATGAAGTCATTATATGCCATCTATCAAAGATTATTTAACATCTTTGTTGGCAACATGGAAGTGCGATTGAGTGCACCTTCAGTAAGTTTCCCAACACCATCAAGCTGTGTGGTGCTGCTGACACACTGGAGGGAAGGGATGCCATCCAGATAGACTCTGACAGTAGTTCAACAAGGCCAAATGCAAGGCCTCCACCCGGCCTGGGGCAATCCCAAGCACAGATACAGGCTGGGCAATGACTGGATTGAGAGCAGCCTTGCGGAAAATGACTTGGGGGTGCTGGTAAATGAAAAACTGGGTATGAGCCAGCAATGTGTGTGCTCCCAGACCAGAAAGCCTATCGCATCCTGGGCTGCAGCAAAAGAAATGTGGCCAGCAGGTCCAGGGAGGTGATTCTCCCCCTCTACTCTGCTCTGGTGAGATCCCACCTGGAGTAATGCATTCAGCTCTGGGGCCCTCAGCAGGATAAAGACATGGACCTGCTCAAGCAGGTCCAGAGAAGGGCCATGAAGATGACCTGAAGGCTGGAGCACCTCCCCTGTGAGGACAGGCTGAGAGAGCTGGGATTGTTCAGCCTGGAAAAGAGAAGGCTCTGGGGAGACCTTATAGTGGCCTATAGGAAAGATGGGGAGGGACACTTCACCAGGGAGTGTAGTGACAGGATGAGGGGTAACAGTTTCAAACTGAAAGAGGGTAGATTTAGACTAGATATTAGGAAGAAGTTCTTTACTGTGAGGGTGGTGAGACACAGAGTGTGGATGTCCCCTCCCTGGAAGTGTTCAAGGCCAAGTTGGATGGGGCTTTGAGCAACCTGATCTAGTGGAAGGTGCCCCTGCCCATGGCAGGGGGGTTAGAACTAGATGAACTTTAAGGTCCCTTTCAACAGAAAACATTCTACAATTCTATGATTAGTTCAGTAGCATATCCAACTCTGGGATCTATCTTGTTCATACTCCCCTGAAAAAGACATCTATCATTCTTTCTGATCTGTGAATGTTAAAATCTTCACTGATTTTCCTAAATACAACTTGAATTGACAAACTGCATCATCTTGGGAAGGCCTGAGAGAAAAGAGTTCATTCAGAACATCATTGGTACAAGGCTAGCAGCCTGCACAGGGCAGGCTGCCTGGGGTGTTGCGATCTGCCCTTTCTTTCTCCTTACCATACATCTTGCCTTCGTCTGACAAGATAATCTTCCGCCGTCCACATGGTGGGTAGATGGCTAGCGCTTCCTGGAAGCTCTGCTCGATGTCCGGACTCCACACACCCTCAGCGTCATTGTCAATGGGTTTGTCCAAGGCCTCACTGCCCCCTGAGTCGTTGCTCCCCTCAGGGGAGGTGGGAGAACTCCACTCGTTGGAGGTAATGGTGCCAGCTAGAAACTCCAAGGTGACACGTGGAGAAGCAGACTCAGAACCTGTGATGGCAAACACATCCCATTTGTCAGTTAGAAATCCTCCTCTCTATGAAAATAAGGAGATACTAAAGAAAAAAAAAAAAAAGTTAAAAAACCCCACTGAGGAAGGGTTTTACTTGAAGTTTACCTTAAGTGGTAACTCAGCCACATGCTTGATTTCTATTTATGTAGAAATGAAAATCTTTTCTATAAACTCTTCTGATAAACAGCCTACTCCCATATCTCTTTGGCTCATTAACTCTCCATCACTTCCCAATTCTCCCCAGAAGCTATGCTATGTTTTCTTGCCCATGTCTATCTCCTAATGTCTTTCTCCTTCTGCTGTCATTACCTGTGTAAATGTTATTTATCTTTTTGAAGTACACATACAGGGATTCAGTCCATGTGAAACACTATACAAAATAAAGCAGTGATTAAATATCTAGTCATCACTGAGCACTGGGGTTGAAATTTTGTTAGATACTGTTTCACTGAATCAGAGTTAGTAGTCAGTGTCATTTTTAACATTGACATTTCTTCTCAAGGATCAGCTGCACTTCTAAAAAGCAGTTTCTGGAGCCAGACAGTTTAATGCAACGTCTCGCAAATCTCAGCACTGTATCCTGGCAGAAGCAGAAAGCACCATGAGAAAAAGGATAAAGGCACTAGGTTTCAGGTCAAAAATCCTGGGCGCTTGGCCTGTTTCTACTGTTTCTCATCTTCAGAACAACTCTGGGCAAATCCCTTTAGTTCTCTGTGCCTCTCTGCCCCCTCATCCTTTACCAGTCTCAGACTACCAGATTTGCCAACGGACATGAGCAGAAATTGGTTTCTCATTGAATCTAAGCAGGCAGCTGCTAGCTCTTGAAAACTACAATATAGTTGTCTACTTACAAACACCTACAGTGGAGGCTGAAGTCATTGAGTGGAGCTACTAAAACACTCATTCAGAAAGCAACTTCAGACCAGACACTTCCAGTCAACCATACAGAAGACAAATGGCTTCTAAAGACACAGATCATTCCCCTACCTTAATCCCAAAGCTGTTTGTTTACATTTTTAATCACAGAACCACAGAATGCTAGGGGTTGGAAGGGACCTTGAAAGATCACCTAGTGCAACTCCCCTGCCAGAGTAGGACCACCTAGAGTAGATCACACAGGAACACGTCCAGTTGGGTTTTGAATGTCTCCGGAAAAGGAAAGTTCACAGCCTGCAGCTTGCGCCCATTGCCCCTTGTCCTATCA